CCCCTCCCCTCACTACCTCATGCTGTTAGCAATGCAAGCGACACAAGCTTTGTGTTCCTTGATTAATTGCTTTGGGGGTGACATTTCTCTGTGAACCACCAAAATTTTCGTGCCCACTGGTTGGTGACCACTGACATAGAGAACACAGAAAGCTAATCTGGAGCAAGCCGAAGCAGTTTTTAGATGGTTATGAAAAATAAAAGTACTTTACTTGTAAGCAAGTCAGGCAGATGCTCCTGAGAGAACTATCAAATGGAAAAGGATACATTGGCAAGACATTTTAAAACCTTGCTGGCCTTCTTCCAAGAACTCCTCAAAAACGAAGCTGTCACTGGTCAGGATGGCCTTCCTGATGCCCCCGGTTCATTAACTGAGGAAACCTTCACCCTTCTTCCAAGAACTTCATCCTTCAGACCAGCCCTAGGCAAACTAACAAGCAGGGATGCTTTGGATCGCCCTGCTCAAATACAGAATTTAGTTAACTATCAGTCCTGAAATAGAAACAGCAGCTGTGTTGTATGTGAGGAAGGTTTTAATGAGAAAACCTATTCGACCTAAAAAGCCAAATGTCTAAATATGAAAAAAATATTTCTTAGGAAAAGGGGAATATAGGAAAATTAACAGAAGACATGAATCACACAGAGAATTCAAATTAAATAAACATGGTTGCCTTGCTAAACCTGTTCATTACTATTTGGGCATCATCCTGTTGGAAAGTTGGTAAAGACCTCTGCTTGCCCACCTTTATTTTCTTTTTCTCCAAGACTCTCCTCCTTCAAAGAATATCCAAGAAATTGGGCACCAGCCTATTTAGGGAGGCTGGTTTTGGCCAAAGAAAATATTGTTTAATATCCCTGGTTTAGCTAACCATTAAGAAATTACCTAGTGCTTCCATCTAACTTGCTAACCCCTTGGTGGAATGATGAGGGTGCAGTCTAGTTTTCACAATTCGTGTATCAGTGGAATTAGTTGGAGCAGGCTCTTAAGGAAAACAAAACGTTTAGGCCTCTCAACCTGAGATCAACTTACTGGATGTTTTATAAACCATACAAAGCCTAGAGATTTGTCACAAGAGCAGCCCTGGATACAGAATAAACTGAAAGCTATCAGGTGAAGGTCAGAATGCCCAAGCTCGGCTATTTAAATGAACTCATTCATTGTATACCCACTAATATTCTATAAAATATATATTTTCATAGGGCTATCATGAGTATATTGATGAAAATCTACCACCTGAGAGTCCTTATCTGTACGGGCTCCATCCAAATGCAGAGATTGGTTTCCTCACTGTAACCTCAGAAAAGCTTTTCCGAACAGTGCTGGAAATGCAACCCAAAGAAACTGATGCTGGAGGAGGAATTGGTGTGTCCCGTGAAGAAAAAGTAAGGATTCCTGTCATTGCCCGAGACATGATGCACCATAGAAACATCAAAGATTGATGGCAGAAAAAGACCCAGTGGCCCATCAAGTTTGCCTTTTGAGTTTTGTGTTTGTTTTCTTTTTAATTTTTAACTATTTCTTTTTATTTTATTTATTTATTTTAAATTATTTATCTTTTTCACTTCCCCATTTGCTCTGCCTCTCCCACGGTCAGGTTTTGGTTTGTAGAAGTTGGTTGATCTCTCATTCAGATTTAAATACGGTTGGATGGGGCTAGTACTTGGATGACAGACTACTTGGGAATTTCCAAGGCTGTTGACTAGACAATTAAAAACAATAATCCCTCAAGACAGTAGTGTCTAGCCACCTCCAAAATGCTATCAAGAAAACTGCCTGGCTGCAGCCCAACGGATCAGGAATATCTATTCTATACCATCTTTTTGGGCTTAGCTGTGACAAGTCCATGAGGAATAAAATAAAATGAACTGATCATTCCAAGTAATTTGCTTTCACAGCAAAATGTTACAAGCAATAAAATATACAATTGGCCTTTTGTGTGTCAGGTGAAAACAGTGCTAGATGAGATCATGGATCGTCTTCCAGAGCCCTTCAACATGGTGGAAATTATGGCAAAAGCAGCTGAGAAAACACCATATGTGGTAGTTGCTTTCCAGGAATGTGAACGAATGAACATCCTCACCAGTGAAATCAGACGCTCTTTGAAAGAACTGAACTTGGGACTGAAGGTGACTGCATATTACACATTCTTGCTGGTGCTGTCTTCAATAACACAATTATCAGCTGGTGTAGTGATCAAGAAAAAAGATGAGTGGAAAACTGTTTTGTGGTAATATATCAGATCAAGTTTCAGTTGGTGAACAAAAATGCCCTTCCGCTGAATTTAATCCTTTTTGTAACACCAAATTGGTCTTTTGCTTTTCTTCTCTAGCAAATTACCCTGACCCCTCACCCCATCCCATCCAAGCTCTTTTTCTGCTTTTCCCCTTCCATTTAACCCATCTGCCTCCTGTTTCCCTCTGCCCCAGTCTCTTTTTTGCTCTTCTCATAGGGAGATTGTATGTATATGAATATTTCTCCGGATGAGAGGAAACATCTATGCAGATGGGGACTCTTATTTTAGGCAAATTTAACCAGTAGTCAATTAATATGCCTCCCTCCCTTTTGGGGTCCTTGTTCTGCACTTGGGTTTGCATGCTCATATACAGAACAAGACTGCCACTCACACATAGAGAGGCCAGGAAATTAGCTGAGGTGGGCAACTTTAGTTGACGAGACAAAGACTGCACTGAATTAAATCTGTACATATTACATCTATTCTTTCTTTGGGGGTGAATAATCTTAAATTCAGAAAAATATTTTTGAGTAATTATGTAGAGAACACAAGTTTGTATGTTTACCTATGTGAAAATTGAGGGAGCTAGATCCAAAGTGTGGCTGAGATATAATTTAATGTACTGGCTCACACGGCTGCCTTAAAAGCTGTCTCTGGTTCTTTGCATGAGTCTGTACAGGAACAGACAACACTTTTCCAGGAATTGCCAGCGCAACTCTTCAAAATAGCTGTATGAGCTTTCCAGAGGACATAGACATTTTAATGTTTCAAGCAGGTGTGCTTTATTGTACTAATAGTCTTTTGCAATTTCCTTTTAAATGCTTAGTTGGGAGCCAGAAGCTAAAGTTGCTCAAAAACTTGGACATTGCTTCTCCTTTGAAACTCTATCGCACAAGCATTCACAGACAAAAATTGATTTTTAGTGTTGAAAATTATGTTTGTATATGCTGTGGATATGCTTTTGATTCATATTACAACACACTCATCATCTAATTTCAGCCCTGGCAAATAGAACAGTAACTGGGAAAATAATCTTATTTTTCTCAGTAGTGTGTTGGGAAATTTAAATTGCCACATAGTACCATAGTTAACTTGAGGGAAAATGCTAAAAAGAATTTGAAAGAATTGGCTTATTGGATAATACAATACTGAGAGGACCTTAATTAACATCCAGATAATCAGGACCAAGTGGGGTGCCATTTCCTCAGTTACACGGAACATTATTCAAATGGACAATGTGTTCGTTCTGATAATGGCAACAACCAATTAACAACTTTTATTTTTTCCAAAGGGTGAGTTGACAATCACAACAGACATGGAGGACTTATCCAATGCTCTTTTTTATGACAATGTGCCCGAATCCTGGACAAAACGGGCTTACCCATCTTTACTTAGCTTAGCAGCCTGGTATGCAGATCTACTGCTCCGGATCAGGGTGAGGACTGTGAAGCCTTAGTTAAAACTTTCTTTTTTTAAAAAAAAGTACCTTGTTGTAAAATTTGCTGTAAATTCTTAAAGCTGATTTTGACAAAAAACCTGAAAACCTGCCCTTAAGCATTATTTTCCTATCAGGATCTTGTTTGCTGAGCTTGGTTTTCTTCTGGCAAGCTTTTCATTACTATACTAGGTAATATTGTCAGTGCTCTGATACAAGGGAGTTGGATTTGCTAGCTTTTGAGTAGCAGCCTGTCCTACTTGCCTTGATTAGGAATGTTGTGGGTTGTCTGCGTGTTTTCGATTTGTTTACCTCTTATTGTTTCATTGAAAATTGTTCCTACCTATGTGTTCTCTCTTAACCTATTTAATTGCTGGGTATGATAAGGATGTGCCTCAGGCTGCTTGCTTCCTTGTTGAATCGCTGCTTTTTAAAAATTGTCGATACACTGCGATTTTATGTTTGTTAATGGCTGATCGATCAGAATGCCAGGCTTTTACAAATTCTCTTGCATTGATCTAAAACAGTTTCCCCAGGTGAATTTATGGTTGCATTTGTCTATGTGCTGTGAAATTAAAGAATCAACCTTGTGTCTTGTAATATAGCTTGCTTGTTTTTCCTACATGGTGGCATTCAGAGTCCTTGCATTGTTGGGGGCAATATGCTGACTCTGTAAACCGTTTCGATATGGCTGTAAAGCACTGTAAAGCAGTATATAAGTCTAAGTGCTATTGCTATTGTATCTTCCAAATAATTCTGCCTTCTTCATTCATTGGGTCTTTGGGATTGCTTCAGTTGGACTGGTAGTGTACCCCTTGATATTTTTCAAAATTTTTCAATACACCTGAGTAGAAACTCTGGCATTGTTTCCTCTGTTGAGAAGTATCTAGGAAGGATAGTCCGTTACTGTTCTCTTCTTCTCATGTGAAATTAAATGTTATTAAATCAACTATTAAGGATGTTCTTGAGTTTCCCATTTCCTTTGAAGATGCACAATTTGATTTACGTATATGTGGGAGGGCTATTATTTTCAGCTATTGTATGTCTGTCTGTGTTATGAATCCTGGGATTTGGTGTTCCCATAGCATTAAAAATAAACAACTCTGCAGCTGCCAGGGAGGATCTACCACCACTACCTTTAAACATTGAAAGAATAATGAGTTGGTATCCTACAGTCAAGAAAAAGAACTTTATATTCATTTCCTTATCTTCTTTCAGATCTCTGCAATACATTTCTTTTTCTTGGTGACCTATTTAACTCATTTTTCCCTTTTAAAAGTTAAATAACAGAAGCAGAACAAAACAGACTTACATAATCATGCATAGTATTCATAAAAGCATGAGTTTATTGCAATGTTTTACCCAAAGTTATCATAATGGCCAGCAATAGACATGTCTCTAGAAATTCTGCTAGGTCCAACACCAGTCCCCATTTCCTCCTCTCAGTATTTTTACAGAGGACTACAGAAGAAACAAATTTGCAGTAGACTACACCAACACTGTGATGAATTTGTGCTCCAATTATCTTGTAGGTTTGCTTTCACGAAAGATGTTTTTAAAAATAGAAGAGTGTCAAAGCTCCTATACCAGGGGTGTCAAACTCCTGACGTCACATGACATATCAGGACTTTTTCCCCCTTTGCTAAACCAGGCAGGGGTGGGGCCAGCACGTGACACATCTGGCCCGCGGGCTGCGAGTTTGAAACCCGTGTCCTATACCTTAACGCTATATAATAGTACACAAAGCAAAACCAAAAGCCAGCTCTGTCTGGATTTTTGCTATCACACAAATCTCAAAGTGCCTATTCCAATTTGTTCAGCAAATTTTATTTAATACATCTTCCCCATTCAAGCTGTAGGTATTTGTAAAGACTACACAGGAGAATGAAAGCTGCATTATGAAGTATGTGTGGTCCTTACTATGCTTATCACTGTTTTCATTTCCAGGAGCTGGAGGCTTGGACTACAGATTTTGCCCTGCCCACAACTGTGTGGCTAGCAGGTTTCTTCAACCCGCAGTCTTTCCTGACTGCCATTATGCAGTCCATGGCTAGGAAGAATGAATGGCCTCTTGACAGAATGTGTCTCTCAGTGGAAGTTACCAAGAAAAACCGGGAAGATATGACAGCTCCACCTCGAGAAGGCTCCTATGTGCATGGGCTCTTCATGGAAGGTACAGACCCATTCACCTAGTAGTGTAGATAAAATATGGGACATTGTTTTGTGTGACCCTCAGTTCAATTTCAAAAACCTGCTCAAGCATGAGTGCAGCTTACAGACAGCTGTTGGTGTTTTCTTCTAAAGTAATTTGCTGAACAGATAGGAGAAGGAGAAAGAAAATAATTTTGGAAACAGAACTTGGTTCTTCTATTTTCAGATTTTACTTTGAGACTAAGTAGGTAAATTACTGAGAGATTTCTTTTCAGAATGTTGTTTTCAGACTTTTTCTACCATCTGTTACACAATTCTGTAACCAAGAAAAATAAAAGAATTCATGAAGGTGGCCATTTCACATTCTCCAAAATTAAAGAATACAGTAGGATTCTTCAACTACTGTTCAGTGACAGCTATGATTACTGAAGATTGTAAGCCAATATATCAGGAGTGCAGTACCTTTGAGTAACCTTGAAATTAAATTCCCTCTTTGGTAGTTTAAGTCCCTATTGAGTCAGGCCTGACACCTAAGGACTGCATGGATGAATATTCATTATCTCAGCCTGACCCCTAGTGCATCTCATCGCTATTCCAAGGGTAGCCCTGTCATTTCTTTGATCTGTCCATCCACTTGCTTTAGTTGTTAATCACGGCTGCAAAAGAGCAGTCAGTTTTAATTTGGTCCAGGTTTTATTGAATGATTACTGCAGTCTGTGGTACCCTTATTTATCATCTCCAGATCTATCATTCAAAGACTACTATATTTCTATTGTCTCTCATTCTTTTTCAGTGTCCAACTTTCATACTTATTTATACAAAGACTATTTGATAGAAATTATGCTAGAAATCAGCCGTTCAGCAATACTATCTGCACCCACAGCAGAATCAGAACTAATATTCTCCAAATTCATTCTGATAAATAAATATTTGACACAACCATCACTACCAACCAAAGAGATAAACAAGACATACGTTTGGATAGCTGCCTCTTTTATTTCTTATCAGTAGAGGGCAGCAGATGTCCATTTCATTACCAAACCCACCTGTGTTAAAAAGCAAGAGGACAGCTTCCACAATTCTTTCTACTTTGGGGATGTTGGGTCTAAGATACATTTTTTTTTCTTTTTTAGAAGCTGTTTTTTTAAAGTTGAGCTAAACGAGGTAACTTAGTTTTTTCTGCTTAGCTATGCATAAAGGGACTTATGTTAAAAGAACTTGTAGGAGTGTACAACTTTCTGCAATAAAATAATAGCTGCTATAGGCCAAGTGCAGGGTATGAATCCAATTGTTTCATTTTGCTTATATACCTGTAAAATATATGAGTAAACCACCAGCATAGCATCAAAAGCATGCGCAAGCCAAAGTCTAGCATGTAGCCTTATTGCTAAAGTTAGCAGGTTGATAATCATGCAAATTCCCTTTCTTTTATAGCCTTGCTGTAAAACAACTGATGTTGAGAGTCCTGTCCCATATTGTTGCAGGTGCACGCTGGGATACTCAGACGGGGGTCATCACTGATGCACGTCTGAAGGAGCTGACGCCTTCGATGCCAGTCATTTTCATCAAGGCCATCCCTGTGGATCGCATGGATATCAAGAACATGTATGAGTGCCCTGTGTACAAGACACGTACAAGAGGCCCCACTTACGTCTGGACTTTCAACCTGAAAACAAAAGAGAAGCCTGCTAAGTGGATTCTCGCTGGAGTTGCTTTACTCTTACAGATTTAGTGTCTGATAAAGTTTTGTCCATTCCATCATGGGACTTATATCCCTTCCCAGAAACCCCAAGCAAAGTAATTGTAAGTTTCAAAATAAAATTTATTTTTAAAGTATCTCTGGCCTGATGTTCCTACTCAAGTGATCATTAACAACATTGTTCCTATATTTCATTATTCTCCATGACAGAAAGTTTGTCTGGTTGAGTAGTGGCTCTGCAAGAACATACAGAAAGAAAGAAAAAAACAAAGTCTGTGCAGTAGCTGTCACTTAACAGCTTATGGCATAGCCCAGACATCTTCACCTTACTGGCCATATATGGAACTTGGGGAAAATGTAACTTGCACTTGCAAGAATAGCTAGCCATAAAACTCATTTCATGAACTAAAACCTGGTCAATCTAATAGTGAAATAATTTGCTCAAAACTCTGAACATAAGGTACAAATGGAATCTAAACCACTTTGAACCCTGAGTCATCTCTCACTCAACACCTACTTACCCTAGTGATGGACATTTCTCTGTACAAACACCAAGACCTGTTCCTGCTTTGTCATCTTGGATTGCCTCTATTAACCTACTAGGTTATTTCTGAAGCTGTCCATTAGGTCATGCCTATCCAGCCCAACCTTTCCACTTCTGCCTCCCACAATATTGGCTCACCACCAGATCTAACTTGAATCATTGTCAGGCTCTTCTCCCTGATGTCTCCTACCTACCTAGTGTCCAAACATTCTTGTCATGAAACTCAGCTCTGGCATGTGTGAAGTTGCACAGCCAGCATTCCTAAAAAATACACAATGCTTGACAGGACATTATCATATTTCCACTCAAAAAAGAATCTTATGGTGTCCAAAAACTGTAAATAAATAAACTTATTTATATTATAAATATATTATAATTTATATTATAAATATTATAATTTATAAAATTATACTATGAATACATTTCTCCTGTCTATTTGCTTTCACCAAAAAGGACAGCTGTCAATAAAAATAACCAACATAACACCTAATACACATACCCACTCTAATTCTAGGATGTTCCTGCAACTCACTGCAACAAGAAAGATCAGTGCATGAGACATATTAGTTATTTTTGATATGAACTAAGTTATTTCAGTTTATACATGTATAGTATGTAAACCATCTTTACATAAGATTTGAACTTACTTTTTTGCTCTCCAAAAAGTAAATAAGCAAAATAAAACAGATATCAAGAGGCCATTTTGTGGGGCAGGTGAAAGCGTCCAGAGGTGAATGATGCCTATCAATTCCTGGCATTATTTAAAAGCACTCAGTGATTCCTGAAATTTTAGGAATCTGATTACAAATGTTAATAAGCAACATTTATTATGGTTATCTGATTAGCAAAAAAAGCCCATATATTCCTCCACATTTTTATTATGAACAAAATACCCAAATATATCCCTAGCTATTTTTAGTCTTACACTAGAAATCACTCTTTAAAGCAGACAGTAGCAGCAAATCTAGGCATCTGCTAAAAATACTCATTGATCTGATAAAAGGCAGAACCTGCTTACTGAAAGGCTGTTTACTATCAAAACACAAAAACAATACTGTCATCTTTGATTAGAAGTGGTATCCTGTAACTTTACGCCTTCGACACTAACAGACTTCTTGTGCATATGGTGCTCATCCACATCCCTTCTGTGCCCAGCTTCAAACTGGCTTAACTTATCTCACGTTGCATATATATTTTCCCAACAGAGCTTTCACCTCAGTGCTAACCCACTGCTGACGAACTAAAGCCCTATCAAAGCAATCTGGCAGGAAAGTAGTGCTTTCTATTGAAACCCTTTTTGTGGTTTTTGGGAAGAGTAGTTGGGAGGGTGGCATATGGCAAGACTTCACCTGGTTGCTTTGGGGCTCTCCCCACCTATCCAGCAGCAGGGCTCTGTGTTTCTAGGGAAGGTATCCTCACAGGAAACTTCCAGCTGGCAAATAAGTGAGCCAAGTGCCCTTTTCTAATCAATTCTTGTCACCACTGCCATCACATCTTTGCATTCCTTGGTCTTCCCAAAAAGCATTGGGCATGGGGAAATGCAAAGACCAGGTTTTTGCAGAGAAGCTGACAAAAAAAGGAAGCAAATGAGGGAAGTTAGAGTAAGGCCTAGACTAATGTTTTGCCCTCTTCTTTCCCCCTATTCTGTCTCATCCTCATCATCCTGAGGAAAGCACTGCCTTCAGCAGAATAGCAGCAGCAGCTGCCATGTGAGGGCAGCAACATCGCAAGTCTTGTTCCTGAGGCAGAGTAAAGGACTACTGTTTCAGGATCTGTTATGAAGGAGAGGAGGAAAGCACACTGAGGCAATGGGGTGGATGATCCCATTCAGAAGAAAAGAATTTCCACTCCTCAGCAGTTCACAAATTAGTTTCAGACATTACAGTCAAACGTTATTAAGCAGCAAGACTATCGCAGAACTGCCTGGGAACTCATTCTATTTTTTTTCCCCATTCAGCAATTGAAAAGAATTATCAGAAGAATTATTCAGGGCTATTAACTCAGACAACTCTGCTCAGTAGAAGCTGTGCAGTTTTCTGTGTGAAAATTAAAAGTTGTTTCCTTGCCAATTCAAAGCATGCATCAGTTTTCAAAGCAGATTTTTTTTAAAGGCAAATTTTATGTACATTTAAAATGGTATGTATTAACAGCATAATAAAATTATAATTCCCCCTCTCTAACAAAGTAATCTATTTATTCTTTTTTCCTTGTAGCAACTTTGTTACAGTCTTTTCTTCTTCTGTGTTGCTCTAAGTGTCAGAAGCCAAAGCAAGGGAAATAATGGTCCACTCTCTTCACAAAGTAAATTATTATTATTAAGTATTATTATTAAGTATTATTATTAAGTATTATTATTAAGTATTATTATTATTATTGTTATTATTATTATTATTATTGTTATTATTATTGTTGTTGTTATTATTATTATTATAATCTACCATGGTTGGAATGAAACAACAGAGGAACTTGGTTGATCAGAACATATTTCAAATACATCTAGATGCAATCTTAAGTCAGCAGCATGGGACGGCCTTCAGTTCCTTTGTGTTACAAGAAGGAAACAGTATGAACTTTGCTTATACAAAAGAGAAACAAAACAAATAGCACTTCAAGAGACATTGAAAAGGTACAACCGCTATACTCTTTCCCCAACTGCCAATCCAACCTTGCTAATGCTATTTAGGACCAAAACCATGAATTATCTCCTCAAAATCTATTTCTAGTGGATTAACATGGTGCTTTAATGAAATCCCCTACAGCAGGGCTGTCAAACTCACGTGGTCACGGCGATGTCATGTGACGTATCTGGACTTTTTTCCCCTTTGCTAAACCAGGCGTGGGTGTGGCCAGCACATGACGCATCCACTTGCGGGCCACGAGTTTGACAGCCCTGCCCTACAGCACTGAATTACAATCACATGAAGGATTTTTTTCTCCTCCTTAGTTTGTGGATGAAGGACTTATCAATACCAAGTACTAGGGATAATTTTCTCTTTATTCTTCAGAAGGAGAGATGTTCTGACAACAATGTCCAGACTCTTTTTGTTGGCTCTTAATTTTTTGCATCATTTTCCAGCTAATTTGTTCCCTCTCTTGCCCCACTCCAAGTGTAATATTCTTAATACATTATTTTGCTTTTTTAAAAAAATTGTAGCCAGAAGCTGAAAACTGCAATCCACCAGCTATTGTTATAGTCCCACTCACATTATTTCTGAGTAGCTATGCTGGCTGGAGCTGACAGAAGAGAGACTCAGGAGTATCTGGAGACCTACAGATTTCCCTCTCTTGCACTATTTCCATACCCTGGAGGGAAATTATTTGATATGGCTAATAGATTAGTATATTAAAATTACTTATACTTAAAATCCAAAAATTACTTTATTGGAATCTAGTGTTTCTTGTTATAAATGCTGCAGAAGATGTATATGGAGTCTACAGTGCCAACATATCAGAAGGAACGTGGTAGCACTTTTTCCAACTAACAAATGTGTTAATTGGGTGCTACCAAAATTCTTCTGATCTTTCATCACCTAGCATCTCAAGGGTACTTCTATACTGAAGCACACAACAGATGATGGGCACAGTATTTAACCATCTGAGAGCATCTCTTTTATTAAAAAAAATAGTTTTCTTACAAATAAGAAAATACATATGTAAAAATATTTAGACAATATAAAAAAATCTCAAAAGCCCAATGTAAATGTTGTCTAAGACTTCTAGTATCTAAGAAACAGATATTCAATTTCTTTTATATCTCCTCACAGTTACCAAACCCAAAATAAAATCTTCAAATAGCTAAAGTAGCATTTGGATTATCTGAGAACACAAATTTATGTAGCTTTAACTGATCACAAATCTTGTGATATTAATTACTAAACAGAAGATCCATATAATCCTCTGAGCTTTCTTTTTCTCTGAAGTAGATTATGGACAGCCTTTTCTCTTCCTAAAGGGAAATGTTCAGGTTCTTTTATGATTAATTGCTAGCCATATAAAAAGGAACAGGCCCAGCAATTACATCTATTTACATGTTGGGTTGAAACCAACTTGTAGAATTCTTAAATGTGCTCAGTTTCACAAATGAGTAATAGGCCCCGAGGCTCACCATTAGTTAAGAAGTCTTTTATGAGCAATGTCTCCTCCCAAAATTGAAGTCCTCCAGGCATCCTTCTATTGAAAGAAGAGGGCTGACTCTTGGGTGCCCCTACCCAGTAGAGTCATTTTTGGATAAGCCTACTGTATGTCTGTTTACCTCAACAATACATAACTTTATGCTTTCATGAGTCCTTATTTTAATTCTGAATTTTGGGGGAGAAGTTTTCTCACTGCAGAAACAACAAAAATCAATACGAAATTCTTTATTCACCGCAGTGTATATAACAGAAAAACAATAGCTGATAATTATTAAAATACATTATTGTGCACCAAGAAGAACATAAGTGAAAGGAAATTATTTATGCACTGTTCCAATTAAATACACAGCAGAGCAGAAGGCAAAATTTAGTTTTATGTTTTGCTCTTGGGTAGTTGGTCAAATATATATCTCACTGTTCCAGAATATTTCTGCTTATGAGATGAGAAGAAACAAGATCCTAATATTATTATTTCAACAAAGCTGGGTTGCTGCCTTACTCTTTGATAAAGGGTTCTCCATTTAAAAGGCTTATTTTTGTTTAAATAAGATGGAAATGTACAGAAATGTATTTATACCTTTTCTTAACATATATACTGTATATATTTACTCAAAGGAACAGTGATTTAAAGGCACATTCACAATTTACATAATTTTGATGTATTTGGTACAAACTTCTTAAAAACCAAAATAATTCTACAATTGAATTTAAAGTTGTACAGAGAGATCCAGTTATTTTACATATATCTTTTAAACATTTCCCAGAAGAACCTGATCTATGATTGTGAGAGTTGCCACCAAGAACTCAAGACTGTATAATGTTCAGGAAAATTACACATTGTAGAAGTACATTCAAATGAAATCAGCCGCTATGCATTTCCTGTTAGCTGAAATGCTTCCCAATTAAGAGGAAGCTATAAAAAGCCTCATCCGATACTCACCAAGAGGATCTGTCTCTCCTTATTTCAGAAGAAGTTCTTAATCAGAGGTGTCAACATCTTCACCCACAGCTTGACGTAACGGCTTGGCTGATCAAACGTTGAAGAAGACACTGTACCAGAACGGGAGTAAAGTTGCTCCTGCTCCTAAAACAAAATTACAACTTGAATTTCAACATTTGCTCTAATCGGAACCTCTAATCAAGAACCAACAAATCTTGTTAGAGTCTACTATCATCATTGTCTAGCTTAACTGTTTTAAATCAAAATCAGTCTGATCTGAGTCCTGGTATTTCATCCCAGCAGCACATGTTCTCCTAAAATGTGACCAGAAATCTGTCACTTCAGTTTGCCAAAACTTTCCAGAATTTGGCATCTCACATGCTAATTGAGCCAAACCCCAAGTAATTGTAAACACAGAATCCAACCCACATAACGTATACAAACATACAAGGGGGAAAGCATTGCAAGATAGGCCCTATGGTTAGTTATTCTTTTTCCCGTAACACAGCCAAGCCCTGAGCTATAATTGTCCAAAAAGGAAACCCAGCTTTAATCTCCAGAGACTGGCTGCTCATTTCTCTTAATAAAAATCCAAGTCTCCATTCAAAAAGTAATGTGCTGTCAAGGTTTCAATGTGGTTCCCAGAAATGTTAAGCTCTTTAAAGTACAAACAGTACAGCTAGAAGGAAAAGTGAATGTTTCTATTACAAAAGCATACACATGGTATTTGAAAACAGTGTTTACAACGCATGAATATTTCATCTGAATTAATAAAACAGACAAGTATATGTAAAGAGCTATGATATCATAATGGGACTTCTGCCCACCTTCAACCAAGCTACACATTTCTATTCTCAATTCTTTAACTCCAGCTAAGCCCACTTAGCCTATATACTTACACACCACTTAGCGTATGCAAATGACATTGCTATTCTCTTTTTCTTCCCTTTTTCCTACAATCTAGATCCCACTGAGGTTTAATAAGACCAGTTTTAAAAAATTAATGGATCCCATTTAATACTTCCCCATCTGCCCAACTGATCTGAAGAACACTCCACAATATTGCTTCCAATTTTATATAATAATTGCAACTCAACAGAATGCAGTGAGAAAAATCCAAAGGGTGGCTAATTGAAGGTTCTGCTCTCAGAGTGAGAAAATCATTACAGACAGCAAGACAGGCTTCACAGAGTGTGCTGCCCCATGCGCCATGCTCCATTCTGAGGTTCATCTTCTATTAGAGCATACAGAAAGGAATAGCCACATAGGAAATAAAGAAACTTTTTCAAAAGGGTAAAGTAAATATTCATTTCAGCTCCTCTGTTTGATCCACTGGAATGACCACAGGATAGACTTTTACTTTCAGAAAGAAATTCAGAACTAAAAAATGATAAGTACAACTTATAGAAAAAGTACAGGTGATACTTGCTTAACTACAATACTTAGGAATGGCAACTCCCTCTCTAAGGGACGTGGTCATAAAGTGCAACGTCATGTGACTGTGCCAACTTATGAAAGCAGTTGAGAAGTTCTGGTTGCTGGTGAATCCTGCATGGTTGCTAGGTACAACATTATTGGGATCATTTATAACTTCCTGACTTTGCTTATCAGGTGCCAGCAGTGAGGGTCATGAACAGCAATTCTATGATTGTGGGCTACTATGACCATTGTCATGTGAGCCAATTGCCAAATGCCTCAATCACAATCAAGTGACCATAGGGCGGCTTAAGCACATGAAGAACGGTTGCAGGAGTTGGGTCTGTCTAATTTAATGAAAAGAAGGACTAGAGGTGACATGATGGATATGTTCCAATATCTAAGGGGCTACCAAAAGGAAGAGGGGGTCAACCTATTCTCCAAAGCACATGAAGGCAGGACAAGAAGCAATGGATGGAAACTAATCAAGGAGAGAAGCAACTAGAACTAAGGACAAATTTTCTCACAGTTGGAACAATTAATCAATGGAACAACTTGCCTCCAGAAGTTGTGAATGCTCTATCACTCGAAGTTTTTAAGAAGAGATTGGACAACCATTTGTCTGAAATGGTACAGAGTTTCCTGCCTGAGCAGCGGGTTGGACTAGAAGACCTCCAAGGTCCCTTCCAACTCCGTTATTCTGTTATGCTGCAATGGCCATGACTATAAGACCGATTAAAGATCTACTCATTCAAGACCACTGTAAGTCTGAACAGTTGCTGAACAAGTTGTTAAATCTGTACAAACAATAAGCAAGTAAAACACAGCTTTCTATAGGACAAGAAATGATAGCAATTCGTGTGCTTTCATTCCTCCAGTTTGTCTCTGGCTTCTGAAACACCCCTCTCTCACTTTTCAAAATTCCTATGGATCAAGGCATAAAAAATAAGATAAAATTAAAGAAGAACCAAGTCCATCCTCTAACAAAAGGAGCTAAATTAGGCAAATGGCAAGGTCTTTTTTCCTTGTCACACAAGATTTCAAAAATTGTGGTATGTGGTGGCATAAACTACATCAGCTTCCCTTTCTCTCTTCCCAAAGTGCAATTCCTGCCACTTCCTATATTTCTGAAGTGTTGAACAAAGTAAAAGCGTCTTTTCCTTCCAAAATCCCCTACAGATGCCACAGAAATAGGGAAGGCACATAGCAAGGCTGCCTTTTTTTTTTTTTTTTACATTTTACAGATATCAAAAGTTTAGCAAAAGATACACTATTTCCACTGCTTCTGATTTCCACAAAACCAGATCAAAGATCAAAAGAAGTTTCCTTGAAACATCTGATATAAGTAAATAACATGGGGTCAGGGGGAAGTTCAGTTCTGACTACAAGCAAGTTGAAGACTAGTAAAACAAAATATACAGCCTCGATGTGCATTATTTCTGGGGTTCAACTACAAAGAAACTGACCAAACATTGAATATTTATGTAGTTCTGGTTCTCAAGGGGAATATCCGATCAGTTTAAAGTGTATTTGCAATATTCAAAAGATCAATACTATGAGCTCAGAACAATTATCATTTTATTAAGCAAATCTAGATGAAACAACTTACAAGGGCACTGCACAAAATATTTACTTGTCGAAGAAGCAAGACTACAGTCCACTCTGATTTGTGAGAAGAAAGCCAGGAAGAGACAGGAATTTTATCTCATAATAGAATTAACAAGGCTTATGATTATCTAAATACTGGGAGCTACTGGAAACAGTTTCTACAGATTTTGCTTGGGAAGTGAAGAGTTGCTACATTTCCCCGCAATAACCCTCAGATGGGAGAACCGCTTCAGAGAAAGACATGAATTAATTTACAACCAGAATAATGTACTTTCGCATTTTTCTCATGCTCTCTTCAAATTCCTGGATCAGCTTCTTCTTCTTCTTTTTTTTGTAAATTTTATTTGAGTTTTCACAAAAAGAAAAGAAATACAAATAAAACATCCCTTTTGAAAGCAGCATAATCCCGGGTTACATTTCTTCGTACAGACGCAAATTCAGGTTCATGCTCATTTTTATATTCTATTCCATATCTTATTACTATTTTACATTTTCTACATGGCTTCTCCCCTCTTTTAATTTTCTCAATTTTATTTTATTTATTTCATCTCAATTCAAATCATTTTTTGTCTGTCCTGTTTCAATTGCCTATTATCTTCTCATTAAACAAAATTTCTCCTGTAGTTACTGATTGGAGTATGACGCCTTTATATCTTTCCCCTAAAATTATAACACTCAATATAATACATAACTTCCATTCGGATTCTGCTTGGTACATTCTTAAACTACACACAGTATTCTTAAAAAAAAAAGAAAAAAAGAAAAAATTATAAATGTATATAATTAAAACAACATTCCATTCCAATTCTATCATTAATATTAATATTCATTAAAGTCTTAACATTTTTCACGTTACTTTTCAATTAAATATCATACTTCTATGGGAACAATTATAAACTTTCCATAATTAATTCCCCCCCTCTTCACTTATATTTTATAAAACATTGACTAATTAAAATGTTCCCGTTCCTTCCTAATTCAATTTTCTCATTTATTTTATTTCATTTATTTTATTCACAAACATTTCACTAAATTACACTATTTTATCCCTCATTCTAATCATATGTTGTTTCCAATTTTCTAAAGTTATTTCTATTACAAATATAACAATACAATCTTATGTACCTTTACAGAATCCCTTTTTCAGTTAGACTTTCACCGATTATCTCTAAATAGGTCCTGTTTCTTTATATCTTGCTCCGGACTTTTGTAACTTCTTTTCCTTTCCTTCTTCCCTCTCTTCTTCTCCCTCCCCTTTTTACCCCTTTGTCTCTCTACCTCTATTTCCCTCTTCTGTATTCCCCTTTTCTGTTGCTTTCCAGTATTATACTTATTTTTTGAATTATTTTTCTTTTCTTTGGTTGTTTTTTTAAGTCTTAAGTTCTCCATCCTCTTTCCCCCCTTTCCTTTTTCTTCCCCACATAGTTACTTGTTCATTAAAGATGGCTTCTTCTTTGTCCCAGTCTTCTTGTTTTGCAGTCTTTTCTTGTTGTTTCTCATAGTTCCAGATCTCCATTTCTAAGAATTGAAAAACGAAGCCAAAAGAACCCTTCCCTTCTTGTGCATCTTCTTTGTACTTTTTAAGTTCCATTTTCAATTCATCCAAAAGTGATGCCATTGTATACATTTTTAAACAACCACCCGAATGATTTTAGTCATTCAAATATAATAACCAAAAATCCAAAAGTCACCAAGTAATCCAAATACACGCAAGCTGTTTCTTTTTGCACTTTCTTTTTTTTCCCCACTTTCTCTTCCTGGGGTTACTATTTAGTTGCAAAGTTTCAGTTAAAATGTATCTTTTAGAAGTCTTATTGAAATTTTACTTTAGATTCTTTTAAAGTCCAGGCAGTCTCCTCCCTCTTCCAAATCCTGCCCTTATTCTTTTTCTCTCCCCTTCCTGCTTATAGAAGAAAAAGTTTTTAATGTCCAGAAATCTTTATTGTCCCTTTGACATTTAGTTATATTTTCAGCTTAATTGCCTATTGATGTCAAAGCGGATTTTTCCGATTTCTTATTTAGGTCTCTTAGTTGTCAATATAAGGAAGGAGAGAGAAGGAAAAAAAGCCAAACCTTTCCCTTTTCACTTTCTTTCGCTGCTTCCGACTCTTCTTTGGGAGTGATGTTATTTCTTGTAAAATTTAAATTCCAGGGTACCTTAGTTGTAGCTTTTTCAACTTAACCCGGTCAGCCAAAACTTTCACTTCTTATCTTCCTCCTGCACGTTCTTTTCCGGTTGAGTTCTTCTTTGAGGTGGCCATTTCTGACCACCGCTCCTACCGCCTTCAGGAAAGGGAGTAATGGCCAGTTGAGGAGGAGAGATGCGGCTCCCCTCGACCCTGCTGGCGGTCTCCCCCCTCTTCACCACCTCTACGAGGTGGCTTAGCCCCAAAACCAGCTGGCTCGGGGCGCTCCAGCGGCGAGCCCAGACAGAAACCGCGCACGATCGCGGATTCCTGTCTGTCGCCGAAGCCCTTCAAACCAGAAGTCCCAAATTCCTGGATCAGCTTCTTATTCAGAATTCTTCCAGCATTCAACTATTTAAGGTAGTGGATCTTTAGTGAAAGGTCATTAAAAAACAACATTTTGTCCTTTCTCAATTACTGATTTAATAAAAAACAAAAAACACTTCCTATCACACCCAAACCCTCAGCCCTATGAAGTAGGTCCAGTGCTCAAAAAACAGTTTTTCTACAAACCTGATGGAACTGCTGCTGTAGGGCTTTGTTTTCTGTCACTATCGCAATCTGTGCTTCCAGGTCACGATGAACTGACCTGTATCCAAAATTAGGAGAACCAATCAAAGTTAAGCAGGGCAGGCTGCTTCCTGCTAGGTACAACCAGAGGCCTGCAAGGAAACATAGAAAGGAAATATGGCAGACAGAGGAAGTGACCAGGGTAGCTGTTAGGTGCTCCAAACAATTGTTTGTTATCCAAAGGCATGGTAACAAAGCACACTGAACGTTTTGTTAGTTTACCAGCAGTGTAAATCATTAAAGTGAGCAACCAGGAAATAGGGACGCTTCCCGTCAGAGATTGTCATACAATTTATACAAGAATTAGCCTCTTTTAGCTTGCACAATGCAATCCATGGTGTGTAGACCATATTCTCATTTCCAGATGTCGCAAGCCTAACTAATGACCTAGGCCCTAATGTTATACTTACCATATTTAAAAATAAATAATTATAATGAAGATTGCAAAAACAAGCCGGAATTGAGGCCGTTTTAGCAATTTTTAATGAGAAACTATAAAATGGCTCCTTTTATATTATTAGGATAAATGGGCAGGGGAAAACTATGCCAACTGGAACTCCTGCAGAGTACAATAAATAAATAAAAACTGTATTTACCTACCAGATATAGGCTATACTGTAATTACCCCCACAATTCTTTGCTCAGTTTTTACAATGATGTCAACATCAATAAAAAGTCATAAATGGCTAATGGTAATCATAACTGAAAAATTATTGTGGGATCTGGGAAGGAAGGAAAAAAGGCTTCCTTTAAGAAATTATTCAGTGTGGCTTCCACATGCATAGATAATATTAAGTTCATTTATTTAAAGAGTGAACAGCTCTTAGCAATCAAATCCACAGCAACACCTAGTTGTCAAGCTATTCCCCAACTGAAGGAAACAGCAGGAATGTCCCAACAATATTTCTAATGCTGTATTTTATTTGTGCAATTCACTGCACAAACAAATACAGCAATACTACTCGCATTCTGAGAACGTTTTCCCATATGGAAAAATATATTAATATTTGAAACAAAACTCTTTATTACTACTATATGTTGCGTTATGATAGAAACTATAATAGAATAAAAAAAAAAATTTATCTCTGCATTTCTAATTCTAATGCTCATTCTGATAAATAGGGGTTGTTGTTTTTTATAAACAAGCCAACCTTCAATCCATCTTCAAAATGTGCCATGATCACAGCAGATATGCTTTAATACAGATACTATACTTTCAGCTAAAATAATGAGCAACCAACAGTTTTGATGTCTCTTTCTGGAAACTGAGCCTCCACCCGGCAGTTACCTTTTCACCACTCTGTCACATCTGCCAGGACAAAAGTAGCACACACCCATTTTACTTGGTTTCCTATCTTCTAATCTCTTCCTCTTTACATACAAAAACGCAAAAAGCACTATTCCAAAAACACCTCTAATAACTACCCCAAACACCCAAACACACATACAAGCACAGGATTCCCTGCAGCCTGGAATCTAATTCATATTACAGCAACTAAATGAGACAAGAACCGAAAGGGTTAGTAACTTTACTCATGGGGAATCCATTTGCCCCTTCTTTTTAATTTTTGAAAGAGAATGGGGGATGGGCTGCTGAAGAGTGACAATTTTGCAATTGGAGTTCGGTGGTACAACCTGGTGGAGCTGAGGTTCACACTTCATCTATGGGATGTGGGTTGCTAGCACTTACAAGTTTTGAAAATTAATCCTGATGCCATTAATGAGGCAAGTGCAGTATTGCAGTTTGCATGCAAGCAGTTGACTGCCAAAGAAAGCACACCCTTATAAATTGCATTTGAAGAACCTGCAGTGCAGTAACATCTAATGAATTAATTATGCTGCTAAAACTTGAGAGTTTAAAACATCCATGCATTTTCTGTTAAAGTGCCGTTAATAATATAAGAAAATTAAATGATTCTTCCTTCCCAAGTTACTGCATCCATTTCATTACATCTGATTCTTCTTTTATAGGGTAAATAAGCCCTTCCAAGTTAGCAATTTCCTTTATATGTCTGCGTTTGTTTTCTTACATCTGAAATAAAATTAGTCACCCAGACACACTCAGTTGAGCCACAAGTTATTTTCTATAACTCTAAATATTCCATATTCTTCTATCCTCACTACATATCAATGGTTCCCTGGCGTACGAGGAGCTGGATTGTCCAGCTGCTCCAATTGATGGCTCTGAGCACAACCTACAATGCAACCCAGCAGAAGTGAGGGAAAGGGCCGCCTGCTAGTCCACTGGAATCTGACAGAAAAGACCCCAGCGTTGCTTTTGACCATACCGACCAGGCGGGGAATGGGAAGCCAGAAACCAGGAGACTGCCTACTGTAAGAGGGGATTGGTCTTGGGACTAAGCCAACCTGATTATGCTCACATCATGACTCACCTTTCCAGGAGGGAAATATAAAGAATGCCTCAATTGTCACTTAGTTGTAGTAGAGAAGGTTCCCCATCGCACAAGGGATACTCCGCCCCCAGTTGCATAACTGACAGCAAACCATTTTTTCCCTGCAAGAACCTACTTGCCTCTCCTAAGAGGTGCTTACAACTAGAACCTTTATTTACCTCAATCCTCTTCATCTAATCTCATCTCTTCCTCCACAGCCAGATTCCAAGACAGGAATCTTAAATGTACTTTCCCAAGCTAGTGAGGAATCACTGCCTCTTACACAACTTGGTTTGGTAAGCGGATGAATTCTTGGTAGTCCTAACTGTTAAGAATGCTTGAAAGTTTTTTAAGCTGACACAACTTACCGAAAATTTTGGCCAGCACAAGATGGAATGTATCAAGAATGAGAAACTCTTCTTCAAGTTTGCAGTACCAAGAAATACATGGAAGTGTGATGAATTTGTATGGCAACTGCATTTGCCATTTTTTTGCTTTGTGTAGACTTTATTTTTGATTGCCATTGCTCAGTCAAAGCCACTTACAGAATGCCCACAACATTATCCTAAACTACTGCAGAATCAGCAGCTTTTCAAAGTATAGTGTGTATTTCACATCTTCTGGAAGAAACACTGAATCATAGAATGAGGAAAGCTGTGTCTTGTGTAGTCAAATGACAAAAGTATGAAGGCTTTGGAGAAAGAAAAAAATCAAGGGGGAAAAAAAATTCATGAGGACTGCTCCTTTCACAGCATTGAAAAAATAACCAAAGTCCTTCTCCTAAAATTGTTTTTGTTATTTTTCACAGTCCTCCTATCACTAAAGAGGTTTGAAATAACGGAGCCCACTGCCAGTAAGACAGAAGACCAGCCATTCTAAGCCCACCCCTCTTTGAAAGGTTGCTGACAGGGGAGATCTGAACAGAACGCATAAGCAGTGCTCTTGGTTACCCACATGATCCCATCCCTTGCCCTTTTTCCTGATTTTGGCTGAGAGGGAGCATGAATATGTTTTCTTAAGAGGAAAGAGCTTACTCAGCAGCCATCCCCACACCCAACCTCCAAGCCTCTTCCCAGAAGCTCTGCAGGAAGGAGGTTGGGAAGATATCAGCATTCCCATAATGATTAACCACCACAAACTCAGACAAATAAAAGCCTAGATCCCTGGAGTACAACGGCCTGTTAGGACGTGAACTTTGGGACTTGCTCAAGGTAATAGAGAAGGCTGCCCAGTTTACTCTAATCTAATTTATACAGTAAGCGACAAAGAAGTTCCTAAGTGCAATAAAAAGAGGACTGATGCAAGGGAGAACTTGGATTTTGCATGGGGAATACTAATTATTTCTGGCAGCAGCTTATCTTCCAAGGGCTAGACAATGGATTCCATAGTATGGCAATGCACGATTGAATGGAAAATTTCAGGTGCCTCAGCTTGTCAGGACATGTAAAATATCCAAATTTGAGAAATTCAAATTTGGTTGCTTTCAAATAAAGACTATGAAAATTACTGTATTTTTCCAACCATTTACAGATTCTGAGATGCTATAGTTTCCACATAAATTGTGGCTTTATCACAGCTGGGACACTTAACTTCCACTTACGTTTTGGGCATCCATTTTCTCTCCCTGGCATATCACAAAGTCACCAAGCTTAACCTTGAATTCCATTCTGCATACTACATCTTTTGCAGAGAAATTTTTAAGTCAAAGCAAGTTAGTAAAAATGCAGGAATCCATTGTCTTTTTTCCAAAATGGATCTGATTTCAGACTTCCCACCCTAATTTCTCAGAACACAGGAAAGACAGGACTGCTTCATTAATGGGCCTTCAGGCATCCATCATTCTTAAATGTTACTGGAAAATTGGCAAATTCAGTTCAGTACCCAGATTGTTATTTGTCAGATGCCCCAACTGGCCTTTAGATCCCATTCAGTCATTATTTTCTCACATGGCAAAACAATTTCCTGCTTTCCCAACTGACCATATCACAGTAACGGGAAATGAAGAAATTGTAGCAGATTACAAGGTCAGTAATGAAGTTAACAATTCCCATACATCTTCTTCCCAAATCTAGTACTATATAGTTCCTATTTTCTACTGTCTTTCCTATATGGAGAAATACTTTTGATTTTGATGTGGCGATCTTTCAAAACAAAAATTCCTTCTCTGTCTTGTTGTATTGCTGGCATGTTTTTCTCTTTTCTATTGGATTTATTTTAAGCTATTTTTTTTCTATGTAAGACACTGAGAGTTGCAGTGGTATATAAATGCAATAATAAACAAATAAATAAATATTGCTGCACTGGTTTCATTCATGTTTGGTTCCAATATGCTGTCTTCCTGACCGAAATATAAAATTATCAAGATAAACTGATTTATTAACAATATGCCACAGTAGTTTTGCTGCCACTGATTAGTTCAGGAACAGTAAATTATTTACATCTATCCCAGTGGCTTAAAGTTCTACCCTGAAATCCTTTGTTAATCTCTACCCTAAGAGAAACATCTTGGAAACGTATCATATAACCCAACCTCACAAGATTGTTGTTGTAGGGAAAACAGAAGGAGGAGGGAGTATTATGTCTGTTACCTTGAGTTACGTCTAAAGTAATAAAGACAGGATAAAAAATTAACAATAAATAAATACATTATATGACTGTGGCCTTTTCCTAGCCTTTTTAAACCTACAATTCATAATCAAATCTTCCAGCTGGATTTCCAGACAAGGATCTGGCATGAAAATTATCAAAGGATCATTCTCCAGAGCAGATAGACACTTAAAACAGAATTAAGTCTAAATCATTTTTTGACAATACCACCTCAATGAATAAAGCAAAAGTCCATTGCCTAGAATGTCTCACCTTTGGCGTGGAATGTCCATCCACTCCTTGTATATTCCTGCAACTGAACTCTCCCTTCCTGACCCAGGCCACACACCTTGCTGAAGAATTGCTGTTCAATGTAAACGTAGGCAGCAGGGATGGCACCTGCCACCCCTTTGGCTCCAAAGAATCCATTCACCTCCGGTGAGGCTAGTAGAATCTGGAATTTTGCCCGGGTGCCTAGAATCAGATCTACATATGTTTTTGTGAGGTTGAAATAACCTGTGGTGAGATATATGCTGGCACCCTGCTCTGCTTCCATGAGGAGAGTATTCGTAACAGTCTCATCTATCCGAATCCCAAATGGCTTCATCTGTATTAGTGGATAAATCCAAGTGTCTGGTTCTGACTGTCCATCACCAGGTGCTTTTGTATCACTGGAGATTTCTCCTTCTGTATGGTTGCTATGAAAAGTCCGAGTCTGAAATTGCTCTTGTCTGATCCTGGCAGAATTGATCACTTCCATCACTTTTTTATTTGCTATCTCATAATAGGCCATCTTGTCTCCTGAGAAGATAAATGCATGGTTTAATGAAATATAACATTACCTGTATGAGATCCATTAAAGAGATCAGAATATGGTTGCTTCCTGCAAGTCAGAAATTATGGAAGTCAAATTAACCTAAAACAGTGGTGCTTAAACCAGGAGGAATTACACTTAAGGGGACATTTGGATATATCATGGAGCAATTTGTAACTGTTTGTTTGTAAGCCAAAGATCCAGTTGGAATTGCCTTTCCTAGACCTTGGTGTAAAACAACAGAGGGTGGAGGCTTGGGGTGTGTGTGTGGTGATAATGACATTATTTGAGACCAGGAAAGGGGTCATTGGCATAACAAATAGAACTGGGCAAAGCCCCCTGGCTGCAGCGTCTACCTGTTGCTCTAAGCCTAAAGGAATCCCTAATGCTCTTTAGAAAGCATGATCTGTTCTGGACTCAGAACAGATCAAGACCCGCCACCAACACACACTTTCAGTGTTTGTAACACTTTTTGCTTGTTGGATTGGCTTTCAATTGTATCCATTGAGTTAATAATGGCAATGGGATATAAGAATGATATGGTGAATGAAATCTGGTTCTCAAATGAAGATTTTAGATTTATTCAATTAACTTTTGCCAGGCACTAGTTTACAAAGGAACTAAATTAGAGATGAAAGCAGAGGCATGAGTAACTGAGGCATATGGGGCATATTGTGAAGAGTGTGTCTTCCTCCTTCCCTGACATGACTCATTTCCAAGTTTTGACAATCAGGACCAGATGAAACAATTTAGCCTTACCCAAGTCTTCTCAGATCTCTTGCAGACTCTTGACTTCCTTAGTGACAGTAACAGAATAAGCTGAAATGCTGCTTTGTGACTCTCATGGACTCTGGGATTTGTGATATAGTTAATTGAATTTACAGGTTCTTTCAGGTGGTGAAAATAAAAGGGGCCCCTATGATACTCTTTCAGCACCCGATTAAAGGTTTTTCCTCCCAAAGGTTTAACATAGACAATTTACCAAATTCCTACCATATCTATCTATCTATCTATCTATCTATCTATCTATCTATCTGTCACCTACCTACCTATCTAATTTGGCATCTTACCAAAGGGAACTCTGGGTGGCGCACAATAGATAAACCACAAATAAATGAAAATGTAAGCTACACAAATACCCCAAACTGGAAAAACTACTAAAGTGACATTCATGCCACATACCTCTTCTATTTAATGAAGTACGGTAATTTACTATGTACAAATAATAAAAAATAAGGCTCCTGTAATTTTAAAAAATATCACAAAATGAAATAGAAATGAGACAAGAATTGACAACTGTTAAGGAATTGTCAGCTAAGGTGCATGTCAGGTACATTCTTCTGTGCCTATTTGAGTATAATTCAGTTTATGCTCATCAACATAACAAATATGGGAAGGCAGTCAGTCCCCCTTTCCCTACTCCCAGAGTATTTGCTTTTGTTACCTGATCTAAAAATCATAGCAACTGGCTTGCCGGGAAGGGCTCTTAACAATTGGTATTGCTTGGAAAATACCTCCCAAGGGAAAGCGACACCCAGTGACTTATGCTCTGTATTAAAGATTAGCTTTCCAGGTTGTAACAAAGAAAGACTATTCCCCAGACAAAACAAAATATTTTAGTCAGTAAAATAGCATCCACCATATGAGCATTCACGTACACATTTTGAAACACACATTATACAACAGTACTTGGGAGTTCTTTGCTTCTTCAAGTTCAAGACACCACAGATTATTTATTCAAATTATTTACTAGCATGGGAATCATTAGAATGTTTAGCTTTAGCCTCCCAATCTACAGAACCAAGTCAGCTTAGCCAAAGGCCCTGGCTACACAAGATGAATGCAAAATTTTATTGTGGACTCGTTGCCATTTTAAATGGTTTTCTGTTTAAATTATATTGTGGTTTTTATTCTTGTTTGCCATCCAGAGTTCCACTTGTTTAGTCATCATCATAAAATTTAATGCCACCTGTTGATAAATTCCTTCCATCATTGCTCCTCCTGCTTCAAAGGTTGCAGCCCTAAAGTATATCAATTGGCAATTGTATCTGTAATCCCAATAATCCCAATTAGCAAAGAAATTCCTGCTAGCTAAACCAGAATACTTCTGTCGCAAAAGAATCTCCCCAACAACCCAATGGAAAAGGGTCTCTCCGGGGACCAAGCTAAAAGCTGATTAGAAAGGAGCCATAACTCCATTTTTCAGACTACACTTTACAGGAAGTCACTTTCAGACTTCATCCTTAGGAATATAAAAGAAGATCAACAGGATCTACTGGGCCTGGCAGTGGTTTCCTAGCTCTACTTCCAGAGATGCTTATGAACCCCCCCACCCCAGGCCACTGGGATCTGGAATGCATAACAGAAGGTAGATTGGATTGGTATTGGTATATGTCTTTCTGACATTTATATTGACTATTGTTTGATTTAATTTTATTTCATTTAATAAATGTTATATCTTAACTCAATTTTATAGGGTCTAATTTATCCATTCTTTTTACGGTAAAGTGGTGACCTGTCGGTATTCTACTACTTCCTTGGAATTAGAAGTGCCTAGGTTTTCATGTGTCTATTTTGTAGTTTTGAATTAATGTTAGTTTTAATTAGTTTTGTCCCACGCTTAGTTTTTAAAGATATTCTATATTAATTATATAGTTATGGTTAAACATCATAATGATTATATCAACTACATATTATATTGATATAACTATAATTTATATAATTTATATTATATTGTCGTCATCACAAAAACTCAAATGAATTCTGGTAAGGTACAAATCTCGCCCCCCCCTTCTGTGTGTATTACAGTTCATTTAGTGACCGTTCACATTTATAACCGTTTTTCACAGTTGTGACTCTTGCAGCATCCTCATGATCAGATGAACAAAATTCAGACGCTTGGCAACTGGTTCACATTTATGACCTCTGCTGTGTCCCAAGATCATGTGATCCTCTTTTGTGACCTGGTGACAAGCAAAGTCAACGGGGGAGCCAGATTCACTTAACAACCGGGTTATTAACTTATTAACTGCGGTGATGTATTTAACAGTGGTGGCAAGAAAGGTCGCAAAAGGGGGCAAAACTCACTTAACAACAGAAATGTTGGGCTCAATTGTGGTCATAAGTCAAGGACTTCCTGTATACGTGATAAATTTCTTTCTAAAGACCTCCCTAAAATCTAAAGATTATGGCAATATAGAAAATAAAGTGAGAAATAAAGTGATAAACCAAGACAAATTCCTTGTGTGTCCAATCACACTTGGCCAATAAAGTATTCATTCATTCATTCATTCATTCATTCATTCATTCATTCATTCTATCTATCTATCTATCTATCTATCTATCTATCTATCTATCTAAATAAATGGCCTCCTACCTTTGTAAGGATGGACCATCCCATCTATAATTTTGACTGTGTCATCCTGCTGTAACTGTAAAGATACATCCCCAACTGCATTTACTAGCTCAGTGAAGAAATCTGCAATCTCTGGTGAGTCTTGCAGGAACACGTAACGGTCTTGTCGATTGCTGAAGTAAGAGTCACTTAAGTTGGCTCTGGAGAGGGGAAAAAGGATGGCAGTTAAGAATGCCAAATGATCGTCTATATAAATCATATTCAACTCACATACATTTGACTGTTGAGAAAACAATAGACAGGAAGGCATGTAAGATTAATCAACACATGAACACTAATATTGCCTTCCTGATCCATTTCCCCATTTAAAGTTTGGTTAAAGGCAAATGAATTGTAGAATGCTTATTCAGAATCACTTAAGGCTAGAAACAGTCCAAAAATGGCAAAGTGCAGAACAGATTCCAGAATTTGCAGAATGATCCCTATTATGATCTGGCTTAACTGATTTCCTTCTTTTTTTTCTTCTTTACTGGAAATCACAGAATTCTTCCTAACCCAATGTCATTTCCTTATAAAGAGGAACTCACCCACTCAAGATCACATTATCATCAAAGAGATAGACTTTGATATGCTGCAACCCGATGGTCTCATTAAAGCGCTCAGGAATTAGATGTCTGAGAAGACCGCGTAGATTAGGAGTGTGGAAGAGAGAGACACGGACCTTATCTGGAAATCGCCTCAGGAGTGGAAGCAGCATGGTTCGAGAATTCTTCTGGCCTTAAGGGTAAAAAATTAGATGGGATCACAGTAATACAGAATATATTCTCCAATCAAACTGTAAGAATTAGAAAACCTTAACAATCAGGAGATGCTGGAAACCTTTACGTATAGAAGGTCTAAATGTCTTGTTGTTCATCAGCTGCAGAGTGACAAAAATTACCATGTATCTCTCTAGATAGAAGCAAATGTTAGAAGACATTTTGTGTCACCTCTAGTTGCTTTGGATTTATAATAACGAAATTAAGTGGACAGCGATTGCACCAGGCACACATGCTTTGGATCATTTCCATCTCTGGTAATCAAGAATAGTAGTTGAGCTTATGGTTGAGTATTATTTCTGATCTCCAAAAGATGGGCCGAAAAGGAAGATCTTAATTTCACCTCCTCCAGAGGCCAAGCCTTAAGGCATTTCTACATTTTACAGAGGGAACTCCCTGTAAAATTGGGTAAGTTCAACTGCAAGTTCTGATTCCTCCTTTATGGTATATTTCACATAACAGCACAACTTGCATCATGGGAACAGAAAAATGTAAAGAGATAGACAGAATACAGTAAAAGTACGGAGATTTCTGTGTACCTCTCTTGCAGCATCTTTTGCAAATGAAATTTGTTTTATTTGGGCAATAGTGCCCGCTCTTTCTTTACTAGGGCAGTTGTACCTCAAAAACACAATGTCATTCACTGGACTGTTCCTTTGACACATCACAGATCTCTGCATGGAAAACCTGAGTCATGAACTTCTTGTCTTCTGGGAACTGCTCAAAGCACGAACTTAGGAAACATCAGTAGCAAGTCATGCAAGAGGAATAGAGATATCTCTTACAACAAAATCAAAGAATTGGTCATCAGCAAAACAGTGGTTGTTTACAGGCCAAGATCTGTAGTTATCACAACAGCTGATCTACATAAGGGCAAACTCTCTGGAGGGGGAAAAGAGGCTCTGACTAGTCAGGTGTGGAAGATGCACCAGCAAAGGGGAGTCAGAAGTCTATATGGGATCTGAATTCGGACCTGAACAGGAAGTATGAGAATTAGATAGTAGATGCTGCAGAAGAAGAGGCCACGTAAATAATCAAAATTAAAGGAAGGTTTCGAAGGAGCTAATAAAACATCACTGAGAAGAAAGCACCTGGATTTTGATACAGTCTGGATTTGTTTTATTTTGTATTAGAAACAAGGAAAAAGAAACTCAACAACACAGAAAATATTCCTGGTTATGTCAGGCAGTAAAAGAGGAGCTGAGGAAAACCAGTAGGCTAATAATACATAAGGGGGAAGAGATAAGATTCCTATCAATTTGGGTCAGCTGGGGAATGGCTTCAAAACACTTAATTTGACAGATACAGACTCCTCAACAGGATGCCGAGATCAAGAAAATTAACTTTATTCTTCACAATTCAACAAAATAGGAGAGATTGAATAGACAAAATTTACATTTTAGTAAGTTAAAAGAAAGTGTATCAGGAATATTTTGTCTGGGTTTTAAATTAAAAGAATCCTTTATGGTGGTTTGCAAAATAAAACCAAAGAGATATAAAGAGGATAATACTTTGAAATCTACAGAAGAACTGATGTTGTTTTATGAACATTGATTTCAGACAAAGGTCCAAATTCTTTGATCTGCAGAATTATTTAAACCAAATTCTTATATCAGAGATCCCGAACCATACCAGTCTATTCCAACTAAGTAAAAAGAGTTGGTCATTGAATACATATATACTTACCTCGGGATCCTCTCGTGAAGTCTAACAGGATAGACACTCTAAAATTGGGACTCCCACATCCCTTCAATGAGCTTTCCAAAGCTATTTCAAGACAATCCACCTATAAGAAGAAAACATACACAAATGAGGGTGAAGGTTTATTCTCCAAGTTGTGGGTTGATTTCCAAATGTTTCATTACCAGGCTAGGTAACATCTTCAGCAGGGTTTAGGGATTGTCAGTGTCATCTTCACCCAAGCTACAGATATTCACCACGATTGCAAACACACACAAATGCACAAGGCAGTCTTCTTTTATTTCAAGCATACTAAGTGTTGGGAAGTGAAATGTGCATAAAATAAATCAAATGTCAGATTTACAGAGAACTTCAACTTGCCAAGCGGGAAGTGTCAGTGTTTTCCTAATTCTAACTTTGTTTCTCCTATATTATTATTATATGTATGTATGTATGTATGTATGTATGTATTTCTCCTATATTAACAACTCACATACAGAAATATAACAGAGTGCCTCTTTGAATTAGAGTTCTGAAGCAACAGCTGCTACCCCCTCCCCAAATAAAACTAAATCTAAGGCATCTCTTATCTAGCTATTTAGTAAAAAGGCTTCAGCCCCTCCTTTCCATTTTAGATACTTACTAATTCCTGTTCCAAAGAACCTGTTCCAAGATATAGTGAAGCTAAAACAATTCGTTGCTTAGCTATCTTTGCCTGTCCCTGAAAGAGAAAAACATTTAGATTTGCTAATGAGTCTATCAAATGAAGCATCCAAGTACAGATAGTCCTTGACTTAGGACAAATTTCCGTTGGTAAGCAAGACAGTTCTTAAGTGAGTTTGACCCATTTTATGACCTTTCTTGACAGTTGTTAAGTAAATCACTGCACTTGTTAAATTAGTAACATGGTGAATCTGGATTCCCCTGTGAAAGTCACTTCAGAAGGTCGCAAAAGATGATCACATGATCCCAGGACACTGCATCCGTCATAAATACATTTTGATCACATGACTATGGTGACATGACAATAGTCATAAGTGTGAAAAACTGTAAGTCACTTTTTTCAGTCCGTTGCAACTTCAAACGGTCACTAAAAGAATGTTATAAGTCAAGGACTACCTACATCTCCTATGGGACACCTCATACAATACTGTATTTAATTTTATAAGAATCAATAAAGCTCAAATTTACCAGGACAAATATTAAACATTTTTGCTCACAACTGGATTGAGAATAAGTTTCTTGGTTACAAGTGAGTGTATCTCTATTGTCAACTAGAAGGTCAAGAGAGACAAGTCTGCTAATACTGGAAAGTGTGGTTCTCTTTCATCACTTTTAATTATATACAAACTGGTATTTTTCTGTTTTAATATTTATTGTCTCCCAAAAAGATAAAAATGTTTGAAAACCATTAATGTACCAAGTTAAATACAATCATTCACATTACTTACTAAAAATTACTTTAAAATTCTCACGTTTATAAACTTAGAAGCACCTACTTCTTGCTAGAAACTGGAGGGGGATATTTAATTTTGGGATTTTTTTTTTTTACATTTTATGCTGAAACAATGAAAAAAATTGAATAAATAAAGTTGGCAGCACCTATATGGCACAGATAGTTCAATACTTTTAAGCAAGAGTCTTTCTCTGCCCAGCTATCTGATTTTTCTACCTGAAGATGACAAGAGTTGAAACTGACACATTAAAACAAGCATAACACTGAACTATAGGACTGTAGCTTTTCACATCTCACTATATTCACAGAAATTTACACTAGTTGACAAAAGGGTTTTTTTCTTCTTTAGTTTTAGAGTTGAATGTAATAACCAATTCACCAAGGTAAGGTAAGGTAAAATTACTTTAACCTATAAGCCTGAAAAGACTTTAGAACACAACAGAACCACTGAACACTGCTGTCATGTAATATATAACAAAACCAGTGACAAAACATGCAAGAGAAAAATATGGAGATCACCTTCATAAGTTCGTAGAATTCAGCTGGAGATGAAAGCACCTTGATGTGGGAGCCAGCAATAGCAAATTCTGGAACCAAGTTTCTGATCCATTGAAAAATATGTGTTCCCTCAGGGCAAAGGCAATTGGTGGGAAGAGTCAGTTGTGGAACTGCAGAAGTGAGTAGTGGAGCCAACAGCAGCCATGATGACCTAATAAGAAAAAGAAGTTAGCTTAGCAACATATATGTTTTTTTCTTAAAGCCTGCAGACATGTAATATACTGAGTCCATGTAGGACCATATTTCTGCTATATTACAGTTAGGTTTTTGATACAAATAGAAACAACAGTCTGCAGTCAAAGAACAAGCACCTACCCTATACTTTGTGTGTGGGAACGAAGTAATTACATACTTAGTATCCGCATAAATACTACTAAAATAGAGAGCCAGTTTAGTTAAGGTGCTAGGCTAGAAACTGATAGATCCTGAATTCTAGTCCCCTCCATAGGCATAGAAGGCAGGTGGGTGACTTTAGTCATTCTCTCTTGCAGCTCAGCCATCTCACAGAATTGATGTTGTGGGGAAAATAAGAATAGATGGAGAGGGAGAGAGAGACAGACAGACAGACAGAGAGAGAGAGAGACAGAGACAGACACAGACAGACAGAGTGAATATATATACATATAAAACACTGAGTTGAATGGCATAAATGGGATAAAATCAAATTTAAAAAATCGAAAATCAAATCAATCAAATTAATAAAAATTGTTCCATTAGTTCTTAAAATATCATCCCCGAGTAGACTGTTCTCCTAGCTGATTCCCTTCATTGACTTCAGATGTCTTTCCAGAATAAAAGTGATTCTGAACAAGAGTATGCAATCCTTTCTGATTTGTCGCATGTGACAGGGCTATATTGTTTAATTAGAAAAGCACCACAACCCCATGCATTGGATTCAGTTCCAAACACATAATTTGGAGTGCACAAGAATACAAATACAGAACCTCTCTGCAGGCTTTTAAAGCAAGCCATGCCTTTTCTCAGGACTACACAATTGTGCTCTTCAATTATTTGTGATCCCAGGAGAAGATGCAGTAACTTTACAGAATTATAGACCAGTGCCCCATTCACATTCCTTGTTGCATAGACTACTCCTGTTGGAGGATTGAGTCACTATGTTCTCACATGGTAAGCCATAGTTGGTGTGAGACTCTCAAAACATTTCAAAGCCAAACCAAATTGACCACCCTAATGGCTTGGGATGGTGTACAAAACTAATCAAGGACTGCAAACTTGAGCGTGCAAATTTGGATTCTTAATATTAAATGCATATAATTTCTAAATTACCAAATTATGTTTTATATTAGCATGTATTTGGATTCTTAATATGAAATGTGTATAATTTCTTTTTATATTTAACTATTATTTTAATCCATTATCATGTATTTCAAGTTTTTCTTCATATGAGCATCTGTATAAAAAATTAATAAACTACCAGAGAAGGTTGAAGAGGCACATCTAACTGCAGATAGCCAGCTTCTATCTAACCCTTAGCTTTTTTACAGGTTTGACTTAATATTTTCCTACTATAACGTGGAAATAAAAAATCAAATGACTTTAAAGGAAATAAATTTCTCCCTAAGTCATTTTTACATTACTATATATCATCGAAGTATTTCTAACACAGGAACCATCGCTTCACTTGTCATCCTGGCCCCACACCGCTCTGTGGTCATGGTTTGACCCAATGTATTCCCTATCTCACTTCAAAGCCCTCAAATGCTTAAACGGAACAGCATTTTGGTAGGAGGAACTCTTAACTATGAGGAACTCTCAGTCTGAAGTGCAAATTGACCACAGGTGCCAGGAAGATGATTTCACTTGTTTCACAGAAAAATGTTAAATCTTTACAAGGTTTGCATGCATCCTTCCCCCTTATCCTCTAGCAAAAACAAAACAAAACACCAAAACCAAAAATGGTTTGCCACTGCATTTCCCAGAAAGCCCACCGCTTTGTCATTGCCTATTCATACAATGGAAATCTGACTCAGTGTGTACAAGAATTCCTAGCTATTCTGTTTTTCAACAGTTTTGTGGGGACTGGGCATTTCTTTGGCAATACTGAATTACAGTAATCTGGAGGGAAAGTTGCCATTATCCTGAGCTTAAAAAGAGAACTTCACAAATTACTTCCCCAATGAAATCTTTGAACATGCAATCAAAAGGCAGCGAAATAGCAATGTCCTATTGAGGTTTAACCAATATTAGTCTAAACTATCTATCATAATAAAATTAGGGTATTTTAAAAAGGCATTGTTACATGTAAAAAGTAATGTTCTAAATACCCTATTAAAGATGTTAATAAAAAAGTTATTCCAACTTCTAGTTCTACCACAGTTAGAATGAATGGAATCATATCTACACTTATTGGTTTACAAGAAATAAAAATCATATTATTTGTGCACTTACATTTATATAACATAATCAATATTTTTCTTTCAGTAAGTCATACTAGTGCCTTCTCTATTTCCTCTGAAGCCATAAATCGTCTGATTCATATATATTGATAATGAACATGCATTTAGGACAATACGCAGTATTATTGTTAATCTACCTTATAACTGGGATTACAAATAACTGTAAATAACTGTAATAACTGTGTCTGTCAAGGGTGTATGTGAGTGTGTAGGGTACAGATCCTATTTATTTTAAGAAATTAGTCTAGTTATATCTGATTCCAAAACACAGTTTCAATGTTCTTTTCCCTAAAACAAAGGACTGTACTATTTTTAAGCTTCTCCATAATTCAAGAATCATTCACCACTGTTATCAGGCATGAAGTAGTGTTGCAATTTTTTTAAGGAAATAGCAGCTTTGAGGTACCCACAGTTATTTGTGAAAATTTAAATATGAAGATGCTATTGATTTTCTTCCTGTAAAGAAACTATTTCTGTCAGATTACACTCAGAGTAACTGCAATACTTAAAAGAATAAACAGTATGTCAAATATGATGGCTCTTAGATACACCTTTGAAATAGCATTTAAAAAATTATACTCTATTTTCAATCAGTGGTCTAAGTAGAAAACAACTATTCAGAAGTGCATATTAAAATCAATATTATCTAGAAAGGAAAATGAACTGAAAATCATACCTTTCTTTTCTGTGTTTGACTTTTTACTATTAATAAATCTGGGGGTTTTGGAATCCCTATTTTTAGGAAATAGGGTTTTGACTAATATTGAACTCAAAGCACCATAATACTTGTTAAATTGCCACTACTTTACCAGAGGCAAAGAAAGATTAACAGGATATTTATCATGGTATTTATCACCCACACATAAGCCACATTAGAGTGACTTCTGCTAATGACTCTTGTTTCATTGGAATGCCTGAGTGTATATTACAGTATTTCTGCATATGTTGTGACTGAATCTGGGAAACCAATTTTATTGTTAACATACTGATGCCAATGAACAATAAAGACTCAAGGGTAACTTCCTTAAATAAGAGAAGAGGCTGAGCATGGACATATGGCCCCAGATTATCAGTCTGCCCTTGTTTCAACTGAGTCATGCTTACTGGATATGACATATTACTTAAGTCTATGTTTTTCTGGATGCTATCTGACTTGTAGTAAGAACTTAAAAGCAAAATGAAATCAAAGAGGAAGTTTTTTCTAAAAACAAATTATCATCTGATAAACCCAAAACTATATTAATTAAATATAAACTATTTTACAGAATGTATACATGCTGATTGATGCTGTAGCCTCAATTCTCTAAAAACTCATAATGCATGACTACAATTTGCACTACTGAATTCCTGAAGTCTAAAGTGGTCATCTGACTTAAATTTAGAACACAATGAATGTTATTATATGCAATGAACATACACTCTAAAAGGAATTGGCTTAAGCCACCGGTGTCAAACTCGCAATGTCATGTGACGCTTCGCGATGTTTTTCCCCTTTGCGGAGCTGGGGTGGGCATGGCCCGCACATGACACATCTGTCTCGTGGGCCACCAGTTTGAACCCCTAGTCAGCCTTAAGCAATCTGACTGTATTGCATCATAGAAAAGAACATGCAAATCAAATAGAAGTCTGTGTCTCCATATTCTTTTTAAAATGCATTTATTTAGCCAATAACTTTGCACACAGGAGATAATATAAACATATCTTCTTAATTTCTGTATTATAGTACAAACATCCTTTTAGAGCCAATAATACCAGACTTGCTTAAAATGTACAAACTGAATACTCCATTGAAAAATAAGGCTCACATGCAACAACTGGTATGTCCATGACAATGTATGATCTGGAGGCTTCTAAACTGATGGTTGCGTAAAAGGACCTATCTTGAGTATTATCCTTCATGCATGTACACATTTACAGCATGAAATCCCATCATTTCCACAACTATGAAGACAAGATGCATACACAAGAAACAATCTTATTCCCATGAAATCTATTAAGAGTATGTATTAGACAATCAGACTACTACGTATCTTGGTGCTCCCTACTTCAAATTGTGTGTAATCCATCCAACCACTTTTACATGATTATACTCTTCATGACTTGGGACTATTGAGGAAATTTATAGATGCAAAAGTATTGTTTATTGTTTCCATAGTATACAACTTTTAGGGAAAAAAAGTTTGTTTTCAAAATATTGAGTTTTACTGCACGTAAATGAGCTGGCAAGGACTCAGAACATCTGCTGACAAAATAAAGAACTGATGTGAATGCAACACGCTTCCTGTAACACCAGCAAGTAATTTTTCCCAGATAATGCAAGACAAAGCATCAAGCAGTATTCAGAAATCTTTCCTCCTTGCATTTTGAGAAAAAAGGAACTAGTTCAGTATGTGTTTTATGTGGTACAAAACACTCTGCACATAGTATATTTATAAGCCAATTAACCCAGCAAGTCAAACTACTTCTCATGTGCGCCCTCAAGGTAAGGGTGTCAAAATTTTCTAAATGTCACTTTCTAGACCAGAATGCTGATTATGAAATTTAACTAAATTAAACATTTTTACTCATTTAATTTTTTTGCATTATTACAAATGCATATGGGATGAAAAGCTTGTACATCTTATACTTATGTGTTAGGAAATAGTTTTTATTGCTGTAGCATCTAATGACATGCTGATAAACTCAGCTTCTTAAGAAAAGAATGAGGAAGATGACCCTGGTATTTGAAGGACTA